GTATGTTCCCTCTATGTGCACCTTGGTAAGACCGAAGACACGGTGTGGTCAGGGGGCTGGGAGGATGGTAGTGGTAGTAGCAGCAGCAGGAGGAGGGGGGCTGTCCCTTGGGAGCCATTTATTTGCTCCCATTTCCCCCACAGCCTGATCTGGGGGTGGTCTCTGCTGCTCCAGGTTGACTGGATCCAGGTCTTTAGGTGGGTTGTCTCCCAGGAGGCTGGCACAGTGTGGTCAGGGGCGAGGGCAGTGGTGGTGGTGGTGGGAGTGAGGCTGCCTTGTGTAAGCCCTTGCATTGATTCCATCTCCCTGGCCGCCTGGCCTGGGGGCTGCCTCTGTTGCCCCAATTTCGCTGGAGGCATGTCATCAGGTCAGCCTGCTCCTGAGAGGCCGGCTTGGTGCGATCAGTGTGCTGGGGCGGGGACAGAGACAGCGACAGCGACAGTGACAGCGACAGTGACAGTGGGAAACGGGAGCAAATCCCAACTCTAGCATGGGGAAGTCCCAATCCTACAGTTGCTGCTGCCGCCCCCGCAGCCCCCTGACCACACCTCTGCTGCCTCCCAGGAGCAAGCTGACAGGGAGAAATTCTTTGTAAGAAGCTGGCACAGCAGAAGTGCCCCCAGGCCAGGCAGCCAGGCAGCGTGGGAGATCAGAGCAAGTGCACTGGCTCTCCCAGGGCTGACCCCTGCTCTGCCGCCACCACTGCTATGGCTGCTGCTGCCTGCTGTCCATCCCGGGCCGGGCTGCACCCTCCCTCCTGGCAGCGCCATCAACCACCCAGGTCCCACTGATAAACGCTGTGCAGCCCGGGACCACCCTGACCCATCGGCTCAGAGGCAGCACTAGGCATGGGGCGGTGGTTGCGGGGGAGTGGAGGTGGTGAGGGGTGGGGGGGTTGGGGGTGGGGGAAGGCGCCCGGGCAGGAATTGGAACAACCTCTAGCCCTGCCTGCCCAGGCCCCGGAGCCTGGGACACAGGGCTGTGTGCCCACATACTGCCCGGGATCACTGTCTGTCGGCTGTTGCAATGGTGATCGGAGCCCGGATGGCCCCGCCCCTGCGAAGTGAGGGGTGAGAGGGTCAGCTGGGTTAGGGGTGCACTCTGGGTGTGGTGGGATCCCGCGGTGAGGGAGGGGACAGGCTGAGGGGTTAAGGGTCACTGGGAGTGGAAGTGATCCAGCTGTGGGGTGAGTGAGCTCGGCTCGGCATGAAGGCCGCTTGGAGTGGGGGTCCTGGCTGAGGGGTGAGGGGGTAATTGCGCGGTGAAGGGTGAAGGGACTATCTCTGAATGTTGGGGGGGCCTGGGGTGAGGCATGAGGGGCAGCTTGGTTTGCGGGGGCTTTAGCTTAGGACCTAGTGAGGTGCAGTGTGGGGGCGGGGACTTCTGTGTGAGGAGAAGGAGCCTTGTGTTGGGGGTGCGATCAATCGGGGATCAGGCCTGGTAGGGGGTTGGAAGGCAGTGACTGGGTCGGGGACGGCGAGGCGGGGGGGGGGGGCTGGGGGTGTGGCCTGGCTCGGGGCCTACGGTGGTTCTAGTTAAGTGACGGGACCCTGTGGACTCTAGTTAAGGGTGGGGGCCTTGGGGTTGGGGACCCGGCCGGCCTGGTCCACGAGGTTGGCCGGCCCCAGCGCCCCAGCACCCCAGCGCCCGGCTCCAGTCGCAGAGTCCCTACTGCAGGAGCCCCAGACATGTGTCAGCTCTGCGGGCGGGAGGTGGGGGGAGGGGCGCGCCCAGAGCGCGGGGAAGCTGGGCGGGAGCCGGG